TTTAAATACATATACATAAATATGTATATATGAATACATATATATATATATATATATATATATATATGAATAGCATATATATATATGTATATACATATACATATATTATATACGTATGCATATATATATATATATTATATATTCTTATATTTATATATTGGTATGTATGTAACGATGAGATAAAGGTATCGTAGCGAGCGTATCATACGGTTAAATCCTTGTATATATGTGTATATGGACATACTTCGACGCATGTTAACCTCAAAAACTCTTTTCGACATACTCTTTGAGTTTATGTAGAATGTATTTATGCATTTCCCAGTGAGATTTTATAAACACACGATGTCTTTTCAAATTACCCCTCTTACCGATACGCATATATATACCCTTACATCTATGCGTAATATCTATTTCAAGCTCTTTACATATGAATACAATTTTGTGTGGAATCTGTATACTAATCCTTTCTTTTCCAAGACTATATTGTTAATATAATTGATATAAGGTTAATTACTTTCTATACCTACAACTATAGGCATCGAGTCTCCTCGATAAACTCAAGCAACAACCAACTCTAGTAGATCCATGAAAAAACAAAGCCTCTTATTTGTACAACCACGCGTCCTTGTTGACCCTATACGGTCCTTTTATCCCTGTAGGTTGCTGGCAGACGTTCCCGACTGCTACAGACCTCCACGGACACGTACAGTATGTGCATGTGAGCGCCCCTGTGCAGACCTGCCCGGGCAAAAGCCTACGCTTACAGTCGCGATCACCAACCCACCCCGCACACCCCGTACCAGCACCCAGCAAAGACAATATCTCCTCGGCCGAAGAAGACCCACTGCACCCCATCAAAGACACCCCCCACTCCTCCCCACAGGCCGCTACTGTAGAAGACCTACAAGACCTACAGTGGCCCCATGCAGACCTCCTAGACCCCTCGCAGGACACCATCGACCCATCTGCACAGGCCAACCCATCTGCGTCGCCGTCGCGGAGGTTTTTGAGCACACATAACAGTGCGAAGAATGTGCGGAGTCATCTCGACTCGCTGGTCAGGCGGGCGTCCTCGCCAGAACCGGAAACGCGGTACAGCAAGATGAATAGAATCAGGCTCGGTGGGGATACCGGGATGAAAAGCGGGACTAGGATCAGGGCCAGTGTAGATGGCGTGGATTTGTGCGGAGATGGCGCTGGTGCAGCCGAGGGTGGGGTGATGCGCGAAGCTCTACCTAATAAGGAAGATGTAGGTAGGAGGAAACCACAGGAGCTCTACGACCACAGAGTACTGGGACAGGGCCTGACTAGTACAGCTGCGTGCACCGAATCCCATACGGATGGGGCCAAGGGTCCGTTAGTACCAGGTGATATGGCGAGTACTACGCCAAGGTCAAACCAGCCCGAAACAGCCAGGCCTAGTATGCAGAGTGCACACAGTGACATGGCGGCTATGCAGGAGGCAACCGCACTGTGTGGTGGTGACGGAGATGTGTCGATGGCTTATGAATCCGATGCGTCCGAGACTCACCCGGACTGCAATGGGTATGAGGATGGGCAACGGCAAGCCCAAAGGGATGGCGGGGATGGGACACAGGGGGACAAGCAGCATACACAGACGCAGGTACCGAACAGTGGAGCGACAGACCAATCGCACGCCACCGGGTACACGCAGACACACAGTACCAACCCCACCAGCACAGACCCCCACACAGATACCACAACCCCCAATACAACCACAACCATAACCACATCCCTCCAGTCAGCTGAGTATGCCAGCTTCCACGCCACGCTCGCGGAGCCCAATGCCATGGACGTGGACGATCACGTGGTCTGTACCAATGACGCCATCCACATGACGTCACCCGTGACGCGTGCGTCGTACATGCGCAATGCGGTAGAGATATCTCCCAACTCGAGCGAGGCGATCAGTGCCTTAGCGTCACTGGCTGACATTGCTGGTACGTTTATTGCTATATTCGGCTGATGTTGTGGCTGTTTTGTTTAACGAAAATTGCTGGTACGTTTATTGTTTACTCGGCTGATGTTGTGGCTGTTTTGTTTACCGAAAATTGCTGGTACGTTTATTGATTGTTCGGCTTCTGTTGTGACTGTATTGTTTACCGTAAATGTCAGTATGCTATATATAAGGGAGTAGAAAATGTAATACGTTCGATATATCATAACGTAGCCGTGTCATAGATGTATAAAAACGTAAATTTATATTATTGGGTTTGATATACAGTTAAGCAAACATTTACCTTTGTACACTTGCGTTGCGCTGGTTATACATTTCGCTTAGGTGTCATAAATTTTAGTCAATATATTTATCTGATGCGGTCAGATAAATATTTAGTATGTCAACAAGTGCCAACCTGCCTACACATTCGTTTGGCAAACTGACGTTTACTTAAAACCCTCAGATAATAATGATTATACACACATACACACATACACATACACACACACACATATATATATATATATATATATATATACATATACTTAGTATAATATAATATATATATATATATATATATACACACACACAAACAATACATATTACTACACACACACACACACACCCATATATATATATTTATATATTTACATATATATATATATATATGTGTGTGTGTGTGTATTTACGTTTGTATGTATAAAATTTGTATTGGCATATAAGTGTATACATCTCATTACCTATACATAAATTTAGATGTGTGTGTGTGTTTATTTACGTTTGTATGTATAAATTTGTATTGGCATATAAGTGTATATATCTCTTTACCTATACATAAATTTAGATGTGTGTGTGTGTGTTATGGCTGTATGTTTGTATGTATTTGAACCTATGTTTTGGCATAGATACCTAGATGCATATTATTAAAAAATTGATCTATACTCATAAAGTAGAGTTTCTCTAACCCTCACTCCGTGGCAGGTATGCATGACCAGAGAGCCCAGCAACAGCGCGAGCGCGCCCATACCCAGTGGGAACAGCACAAAATGTCTTCAACAGGAAAGTACCGAACTGGCCTCTCACTACGCGGGCAATCCAGGATACACACCACGAAGATGCACCTGAGCGTGCACGCAGCTGGTTGGGATAAAGGCAAAGCCGACGGGGATACCGTGAGCTTACACTCGGTGGGGGCTGTACCTAGTGCACCTCCCGTGGCGGTGCATTTGAATGATTACAGGTGGGTGGGTGTATGTTGGTGTGCCCAGTGCTGGTCTGGATAGTGTGGGTGCTGTGTGTGGTATTGTAGCTGTGGTGTGTATGTTGTTGGGATCAGGTAATCGTGGGGACTGTGAGCTTACACACACTGCAGTCTGAACCCCATGCACCTCTTCTGGTGGTGCATCTACAAAACTACAGGTAAGATAAGAGCCTTATATATCGGGGTTATAGTTGTATGTGTTGTCGGATAGAAAGATAGCTGTGAGAAGTTCTACTATGCAGATACAATTCACAGCAGTTAAATGGCTATATTATATCCTCGTGCAGGCTGCCTGTTTGCTTATATGCGGCACTTTACTAACCAATCTATATCTCTCTCATTTCACCTGAAAGCAGTCCTACCGGGATGTCTCTAAACCACAGGTCAACATCGCCGAATGTCCTGAAACATGATCATACCCCACACAGCGATACACACGACTACCCTTACACACACAGCCGTGCACACAGGTACCCAGATACACACGAACATGACTATGTAGATACATCTATTGCACTCATGCGCACGCCCCATCCGGCTAAGCATGCGAAGGAGGTCCTCAGCGCGTACCCTGACGCCCAGGGGCCTTTAGAGGTGCAGGACAAGACCGATATAGGTCTCCTCACCCACCCATACACCGAGCCACACCCACACACACTTACGTACCCCAATGCACATACATACACACGCGGGAAAACACGGGCATGGAAGGCAATCGAGCCAAGCACCCGCACGCACACACGTGCACATGCACACACACACACACACACATTCAGCTCCAACAGTTCGCCGCCGGCGTTGCATTTTACGGGTGCGAGACGGGCGTACCGCAAAAAGGGCACCCGCAGCATGTCTGAGAGCTATGCGTCGTCTATGGAAGCCCCGGCCGCGCTGCGGTTCATAGACTACACCCGTGGAGCCGACAGACGCAAGAGTACTACGGAGTCAAGTGAGGTGAAGGGAGGCTCGGGCTCAGAGCTGGGTGGGGGGGATATGAGGGATGATGTGGACATGCTCGTGCGTACCTACAGCACCGGCAGTCCGACTACGAAACTGGAACATATCAAGAGCTTCGACTCGTTGTCGTCGTGCTCCACGATGTTGAGCAAAACGCGGAGTCTGGGCGATCCACCTCTGTGCAAGAGGAAATGTAAGTCTGGATACGGTTTCGGTTGTGTGTGAATGCTGTTTCTGTTGCGTACCGTAGACAAGACAGAGTAGCTTTGATACGTTATTTAATTGATTTTCCTTTTTATTCGTCGTGATTGGGTACGCCGAGCAAGGCGCAGAGCCGGGTGACCAACCCTTCTAAAGAGAGAATGTAAGCCTGAATAGGTTTTCTGTTATATACGAATGCTGTTGCTGAGATACGTTTACTCTACAAGATGAAACGTAAACCTGAATACGTTTCCTGTTCCGTGCAAAAGCCGCGTGCGTGCACGGTTCTTGATCATATTCAAATCTTGTATGTGTGCGTCCTCTGCTGGATGAAGTGTACAAGGGACTGTGATACAAGCGTATATACAGTATGACATTTGTATACATTCTATCTTAGTAGCGTGCATAGATGTCAGTGAAAATAAAACCGTTCCAATCTCAGCAAACGCTAGTCCGAGTACGTGTTAACTTGTGTTGTCACTATAATTTGCATGGGGATGGATTGTTCTTTCTATAGTACTTTGGTCCCATACGCATCTACCTAAAGTACGCAGACCGGAACGTCTGCAATAAACAGATATATGTGTGCTCGTACGCGATGGCGATGATTCATGCGTCGGGCATGCAGCACTATAGAAACCTAGTTTGTATGTCCATATCATACACATAGTTTATATAAGCATCAGGAGTCTAAGTCATAACATGTATGTGTGTCATGAATTTGGAGAATCCATTGGATACTACTAGTTGGTATTAAAGTACAAATCTCTTTAAAGCATGGTTTCATTGAACGATTCTTGGTGCATTCTTAGATAAATATATGCCTGTGTAAATATACGAGTATATAAGTATCTCTATTCAAAGGCATGTTTTACAATCAGTACAAGGCATAATTAGATTAGAAAGTATTAAATATAAGTATGTGCGTGTATATACATGTACATATATGTGTGGATACAGGCATATAGTTTTGTATACCGTGCTAAATAAGAACTAATAATAATGTACCTATTTTGTACTCATTGTATATATATATAAATGTAATATATTACAATATATTATAATACATTTATAATATACAGATACATACATAGCTTAATATATTCATTCAAATATAAATCCTTATTTACACCCGCGTATATATATTTCCATATACACACACGTGTACACACTCATGTATATATATTTACATGTATATACATATACTTACATATACATATATATATACATATGTATATATATATATATATATATATACATATATGTATGAACATATGAACGTGTGAAAAGTAAAAATATATACATCATGAACACATGAACGTGCAAGCTTATATTCATGTGCATAAATATGTGCTTCAATATACAAATATATTTCAGGATGAGAATATACATGTAAACTAAACATACACATGAATATACATATGCATAAACACATACCATACATATACATAAACACATACGCGTACAATTATAGAAATTTACATATGATCATATCCAAAACTATCTGTATAGCTATGTATTATACATACACACACATATATGTATATGTATTTGTATATATATATATATATATATATTTATATATATACATATATATATATATACCTATTGTTAGTTAAATTATATATATATATTATACATATGTATATGTATATGTATATATATATATATATATATTATACATATTTATTTATGTATATATATATATGTATTATTATATTGTTATATTATTATACTATTATATTATATATGTGCTGTACAATTGATAGTGAGCTCATAATCAATAAAGCCCCACCCAAACTTATTGCAATACATGTGCTTCTAATCACTCAACTCAGCACGAGGAAGCGGTAAAAAGTTGAGATCGACGCGATTCGGCCGTACATCTGCACCCAGTTTTATCGACACCACATACACCCTAGATCAACGACTCAAACCCTGGGTTGAGGAGAGTGGGCTGAACATCCCCAGTGGTCTCTACGAGTTTTGTACGGGACTTTCGGTCAATTTATCCTTGCCCCCACTGCCAAATATTCTGCCCACGTTTATACCGAGTGTTATGCGAGCACATCTGAGTTCGTCGGCGAAGTCGAACTTCGATGCGAGCTCGGATGAGATTGGGTACTTCGAGACTGATGGAAGAAGTTCGGACCAGACTCCGGGGCCGTTATAATTGAGGCGTATATATACAAGGATACAAGCTTAAGAATTCAAAAACGCTTGTAGCCGTATCATATGCATATACACATGGACATATGGATATGTATTTGTACATATAGACTCTTGACACCAAAATAAAGTAGGAAGGACAAATAAAGCCCAACGGCGAACTCTTTGTCGTAGCTCTTGAGCGTAATATATTGCCATGAGGTTCTTAGTCAAGAACTATATGCGCCTGATGCTTCAAAAACACAACACTATATTCTAAACATTGGAACAGATAGCTTGTATCCAGCTTCTCAGACTACAACGTCGTACCATGCGAGACCTACATGTGTGTAACAGACCATGTCATGGACATCACATAGGAGAAACTAGGTTTGAAAGGTTCTGTTTTTTTTTCTTCAATGATGCTCTCATCACTAAATCGGTATGCATGTGGTAGCTCAGTGTATCCTTTAGCGTAAAAGTAACGGTATATAGTTTGGTATGTTTTTAAACTTTATAACTTGCATAGGGACAACAGGATATGACCTAAATACATAATACATATGGGGAAGAGTCGTAAATTGCACCTGTGACCTCAGCAAAAGTGTAAACGGTAAACCCCTCATCAAACAAATGTATGCAGAACCACACTGAAATAAGCGTTTTTCGTAAACGTAAAAAGTATTGATTTTTACAAGCTTAACGTAAAACGCAATGAGGTTCGGACTGCACAACGTCAGGTTTTTGACTGTTTTTCTCATATTGTCAGTCCACTGAACTTTTGAGGCTTATCAGTTAGATCAGTAAAATATTTCTGTGACCCACATCTTGATGAATCAGTCCAACATTTAGATCAGGGATATTCATATATTACTGAATCCAATATATTCAGAGTCACAAGTCTGAATACTCAATACCTTTCGAAAACATAAGCGATCATTTTACTGTCGACCACAGTGGTATATTTGTAGCTACACTGTGAAGACCAACATGCATATGCGACAATAAGTACTTAAGAACCGTATCATCAGTCATACGAGACAGACAGAGTGTACTCAGTACAATGTCACAAGCAAATACACGCCAGCAGCAGCAGCAAGGATACGACTTTCACTTTATCACTCCCGTACCAGAGCTTGTCTTATGTGCGATATGCCAATACCCAGCCAGAGACGCGTGCGAGACCGTCTGCGGACACCTATTTTGTCGGAGTTGCCTCGAAACATGGCTTTCGGATTCGAACAACCGATGCTCCAATTGTCCAGTATGTCGTACACAGCTTACTCACGATGATGATAATAGCTACCGATATTCACAAGTCATACAGCGACAGATTCTGGATTTAAAAGTGAGATGCACACACAAACAGAGAAGGAGGTGGCGGACGCATCTATCTCACATTCAAACTTCATGCCCAGAATTGTTGAGTGTTGAACAGATGTTAACGCATGCAGACAATTGTCCCGTCCACCGGACACCATGTACTAGTGAATGCGATGAGGTGGATGAAAGTTACACCGCGACAGTGGACGCCGCGGAACGCGATGATACGAGGTACCATATCGCGAATCTTCAAAGACAGATCGGCTATATGAAAACTGATATACACGCCTTAGATGTCGACAACGTAGATTTAAGAAATGAAATGGAATTTGGCTTTTGTGTAGTCGCGGGAGTTTTATGTACTGTCGTAGTCGCATTGATTAGGCATCATGGTCTAATATTCCGCAAATAGAACGCTTTATTGTTATAAATGAACGATTCGAATTCAAATAAAAGTTATGTCAATAACAAGAAGCAATTCGCCATTTCACAAGATCAGAAGGAATCAACACAGTAGCTTTTATGCAACGTATGCAGTCGGGATGTGATTGTATGTTCGCACGGCCGATGCGTTTATATTGTGCCTACATAGATGAACTTTAATAGTCATCATGTCAGGTAATTCCCAACAAGTGATTTGATATATATATATCCAAATATGAGTATTTACAATATATCTCAAATGAGTACTGAATTTAGAGTGAAAGAAAATATTTCCAAGTCGAGTTCAACAAAAGCAAGCCTGAATTCACAAGATATGTGCATTAGGATAATAAAAGATTGTGACACAGGTACACATACAGTGGACAGTTACTGCTAAAAAGTCATAATTAGAATCCTACACTTTTTGAGAAGATATTATACTATTAATGCAGCTATGAGTATAGTACTTTGCAGACTCTTAATTATACATGAGATTCTCGTGATCATGTAAAAGACAGAGTTATTAAATATTTTCTTTGAAAGAAGTCAAAGAACACAAAGAATAGCATATTTGAGTCGAATTTGACTCATAGAGATTTGGAAAGTAAATATTTATGCACTATGGTGTATGGAGTGTTTAGAATTATAGTCAGAAATTGTTTTTAGTTTGGTTTATTTTAAAAAACAAAGTACATATGTATGTTTTCCTTTTATAAAAAGAAACCAAAAAAAACATCAATTATTTTACAACAGATACTTTGAAAAAAACGAACTTTCATTCATTCGGTTTCTATTAAATCCCATAATATTTGCCAAATGAAAATAGACTTAAATCTTCATATAGTTCCAGTATAATTTGCTATTTTTCAAAAAGGTAGTCTCTGAATTCTTTTTTTGGCATTCTAATTGGATAATGAATATATTTTTGTCTAATGAAATACTTAGTTTTATCTGGATTTTGGGTTTAGTTTTATACATAAATATATGAACGAATAAAAACAAACCAAAAACAAATGAAAAATTTGCGTTGCAGATTTTTCGTTAGTTTTTTGAATTGTCATCTATTTATTCTTGATGTTTGACGTAGCCTTCTGTACAGAAGCTGAAGACCTGAAGTACAGAAGTATTTAGATATTTAGATATTTAGTGCCTGTTTGTTTTTGTTTTGTTTATTTGTATATTTTTTTGAAATTTTATACAAAAAATATAACAAACACTAACCAAGTCATATCATCTAATCATCATTGCCAGTGTATGATGATGTGTATTTATCTACCCATACAATATTGAATCCACTTCATGTGTATTTGTTCTTAGACATCATGAAGATAATGAACGGACATTCTTTGACGTTACAATCGATTTCTTGATGTTAGGTCATGAACAGCCTCACCTAACCCCGCACTGATAGTAACTGTCCTCCTTACGTACACACTTTACACGCATTTGCATTCGTCTATAAACCAATAAAATTCTACACACAAGGCCGTATTGTATATATTCATGTAGATTTGTAAATATATATCTGTAAAATATCCCTGCACACAAAATGGCCGAAGCAGAGGGCATGATATGTCCGGTATGTCTGAGCCAGTTTGGTTCAGTGGGTTCGCTCGAGAGACATTGGGCAGAGGCACATTCCACCACACCCACCCAGACGTCCGCGTTTAAAAACTTCTTTAAAACATTAACGAGAACAGCTGAGGAGGCTTTTGATGCCACTGAAGACGCTATACTCGAAGATAGAGATAGAGAAAAGCCACAGAAACAAACACTGATAGATCTGAAGAGTATGGTAACCAGACATCACTGGGACGAGGCGAGTGGTGTGTGCCACACGTGCAGGAGACCCTTGCAGGCATTTAAGAGTACTGATCACTGCAGGTGTTGCGGGAATGTATTCTGCACGGATCATCTTGGATTCACGGTATGTAAATATACACGTACATGTATATGCATGTACGTAAATCCAAAGGAAAAGGGACATGCACGTGAACCGGAACAAGTAGACTTTTATCTTAATACACCCCTGTACATATGTAGAATCATAATCAGTCTTGAAATCACAATAAAAAAGAGTAGTCTTACCGGGGTGTCTATTAATTTAGTAGAGAAATACAGACATTATACATTGTATATTTTCTGTATATATATGTA